CGTGTGTGTATATATATATATATATATATATATATATATATAATGAATAGAAATTAAATATTGTGAGAATTTAAAAGAAGTAAAATATCCAAGACACGTAGTTGTTTTTGCCTTCCAGACCGAATCTACTCGAGGCACTGAGGGGATTTTTGCCCTGTGTATTATCATCTTCTCTCACAAAACTTCATTTAAATATATTATTACCTTGATTGACTCTATTTCTACTGCCTTTCATCTCCATTGGAAATTCCCTCATGCATAACCCTCCTACAATTCCAATGCCATATAAATAATAAGCATAGAATCGGTTCCCTAGCCCAACGGTTGAACCCCGGTTCCAACCGGCTCACACGCAAAAATGATTTCTACTTGGTCTAGATCGGCCTGGCCCCCGATTCACGGGGCCCACGGTCGAACCGGTCGAACCAGCCAATCCGGTCTAGTTTTCTAAACCTTTAGTAAATGTAAACCCAACTTAAAAAGTTACTTGGATGATGCGTTTGATGAGTGTGACAAATAATTTATGTTTAATTTGTAGAGCAATGTTTGTAACTTTTTGAATGGAACACATATTTGGTAAGTGCTACAAATGGGTAAATGAATTGCTAAGTATTCTAAGAGACATAATCAACTTGTTCCTTTGAATATAAGCGAAACAAAAAAAATCTCAATGGAGTAAATAGTATATCTTTTTTGTATAGCATGCTAAAAAGAGTGACTTAACAGGTTCCTTATAATTTTTGTTACATGAAATATACATAACCTTTGTAAGTGTACAAATTCTTTTTATCATACATTATCATAAATGTCATTTTCTTCCTTCCACATTTTTTTAATAAAAACAATTTGAGGCAACTTGTGGTGTGTGCAAACATATAAATCATATGTAGTTAGTCGAGTTAAGTTAATAAAAATTTTCATATTTGAGTTGCCTCGATCACTTTTTTAAAGTATCTATTAGTTGAGTTCATCGCTTATGTGAATGGGCATCACCAAAGCCTTTCATTTTTAAGGGGGCGGCCATCAAGACTTATTAGCAAGAATGGACTCACATGTTACTTGATGCAAATTTAAATTTTTGCCTTGGACTTTTGACACCAAAGATTTTAGCATGACATTTAGCTAGAAGATGAAACCCTTTAGTGTTGAGACCTTAAGAATAATTAAAGTAGTCTATAAACTATAGGAGTAATGTAAGCCAAATCTTGTGAATAAAAACTAAGAATTCTATGGAGCAAGTTTGCATAAATACGATAACTACAAAGTATAAATCACAAGAATCTTAATACAAAATATAATTTTAAATAATGAACATGAATGAATACCAAGTGACCCATGTCGGTGATGAGAATTGACTGTCAAATTTTAATTCCTTGAACTTCAATAAAATTAAATGAATTATGTTTAAGAAATAGTTGAAATCTTTTAACAATTTCCAAAAGGGCTTTTATAGGGTATGGGTGGTAGTGATAAATACAAGTACACTGTAAAAGCTAGGCAAAAGAAAATGCTTTATCATTTGTTATAATAAATATAATAAATAATAGTTATTTAAGGATACCTTATATTTTAGACATGATATGCCTATCATTTATATAACCCACGATAATCAACTTCATCTACTTTTCCTTCTTATTTTCTATTTAACTATAACTCTGTGCAAATAAAACTCTTTAAATTTCCTCCACTTTGATGAGTACTTCAATTGAGTTATGAAGATGTCTATAGTCCTTCATGTTGTGATTGTGGTGTGTTCTTCATGAAAACATAATATTATTTTAAATATCAAATTTGCATTTAAAAAAAATTATGTTGTTCAAAAAAATGCATTCTTTATTTTTTTACCAACTTTACAAAAGAAACTTATTAAGGAGCATGAGTGATGTTTCTGGTGACTGATTTATTTCTTTGTGAGCAACACACTAATGATTTCCATCATTGAATATAGTACTCAGGTAGTAAATATGAGAGCTGATTTTGGCGATGATTATTATAGATTTTATTTTTGGTTAAATTGAAGTTATCTTTTTTTTTTTGTTGTTGGCATTAAGATTATGATATTCCTCCTTATTATAAATTTTTTACATTTAATTTGTTTTTTGTGAGTTCTGGCATTTTGTGAGCATAATTAATTGTTTTAATCCCAAAGCATGCAAAAATGATCATTCTTTTAGCTGCATGTTAGCATGATAAGGGTGATTAAAGATTTTATATCTTTCACATTTAACATCTCTTGTTGTAGTTGAATGCTAAATCTTTCCAATGACTCCTTGAGCTCTTCTTGATGTGGCCTAAAAAATTTCAATAACTTATAGGTAATAAATACTTAACTGATGAAAATTTTCTTAAATTTAGTGAAGAACATTATTACTCTAAAACAATAAGTGTTAGAATCATTTGAGACGTCATTACTTAAAAGTAATAAATAATAAGTGGCACCTCTAGACATTATTAATGTGCAACATGGAGGTAATTAACTCAAAGGCAGATGGACAACAAGATTTATTTTTCAATTGTAAGATTTGAGAAGGGTGATTTTGAACTTCATCGAGGGTTTTGCCTTTAAAATCTTCCTTGATAGTGCATTGATTAGCTAGTTTTTTTTATCATTTCCTTAAGGAGGTATGGAATCCTAATTAATGTATAAGTTGTATGTATCATCGAGTTTGTGGTCAATTCCATTACATTTGGCATCTGTGGCACCTATTCATTTAAGATTATTTAAAAATAAGATGAAGTTTGTCTAGATCCTACTATTGATCCATTTTTTATTTTTGCAAGTTATCTATTTATCATAAAACTCTTTTTCTCCACATTTTCAAGACATCTTTCTCATGCTAGTTTGCTTTTCATAGGGCTTGAGTTTGGTTCTTGGCATCAACCTACACTCATCACAATTTTTCAGGAGATTGGATCCAAGATTATCCTTGAGAGATATTAATACCATATAAGCTTAAAAAGTAGGGAGAGAGAAAGGAGTAGAAATGATAGAAAATATTTTAGGGAGAGAGATAAATAGTCTAGAGTGAGGCTTTATGATAATACTAAAATAACCAAAATTATAAGCGTAAGAATGGGTAACCTTGTGTAAAAAAATTTTCGTTAACTCTTTATTTATAAGTTTGACCTAACCTTTAGTACTAAGAAAAAACTACATAGTTACAAGAAAATCCATTAAAATATTTACGGTAGGTAGCCACAAAATTATAATATTAAATGTAAGTGGATAATTTGCAAATAAATAATCACTATTTTAGCTTATAAAAGACTAAATTATAATGGCCAAATTACTTACTTCCATGACTTTCATCAGAATGTTATGTTTGTTCTTTCAAACAAATAAGAGAGTTCATTATTCTAATGGTACAAGACATTAGAATTAAAAATTTAAAAATAAAAAATATGTCTACAACCAAATAATACATAAAAAAGTTTAGGACTAATTGGCTGAGTTAGAAAGGCTATTTCATTGAAGTTAAAAAGAACATAATGAACTTATTAACAAGTTTATGCTATATGGCTGACTAAGAGAAGGTGCTTATATTAACTCCAACAACCTATGTTTATAATTATATTTTTTATGATCATAAATATACTTTATGATGTGCTAATAATTCTAATTAAATTCAATGTGGATACGAACTCAATACTTTAGGATAAGCTTAAAATTGTAAATGAAGAATAAGAACTACAAAAAGAAGTATTTTTATGATAAATAAATTTGGTACTCTAATTAGTTTGATTGAATTTAACTACCATTGTTACAATTCAAATAAAAAAAAATCTATTTATATTAAAATGATAAATTTATTGTATTGAAGGTGCTGAAATTATTAAGATAACTAGCTAACACTAAAACTAAAACCAAAAAAGACCTTAATCAACTAAGAAAATCTTATTAAAAATCTAAAAAAAATGTACCTTATGATATTATATTATGCATTATAATCTAAAAGTTTTCTCTGCTTTAATTAACTTGATTATATAATTAAGTTTATGGTAATAATGTTAATTGAAATTTTAACTATAACATACGGTTGAAATTGGAAAATATGATATATTTTGATTTTTATTAATTCACATGATAAATAAACCATGAAAAAATATTTTAAAATTTGAACTAATAATATAGAACAACACTAAAGATGCTTTTTAATGTATTTCTGAATTAAAATTTAACTATCATCATATCAAATCAAGTAAAAAAATTAGTGAATTAAATCGGTCATACTATGTATTTATAATCATATAGACTGATCATATAGAAAATTTAAACTAGAGCTTTATAATTAGGGTTTGATGATTGTTACCAGGTGAATATGCTATCATGTAGAAAATATTATTTTTTACTTAACAAATCTTAAGATATAGAATTGAGAAGTTGAAATTTCATAGTTGAAGTCATCTTTCTCCTTTTGAATTTGATCTTTAAGTTATAACGTTTGACTATGAAGAGATTAACTTTCAATTTAAGGAAGGCAATATTAGATCTCAA